TTGACTGTAGGTAGACACATTTTGGAAAACGGTCAAGCTCATACACGCAGTCGGCGTATCGATCGGATTCGCATATGTACGCGTTCCATTTGAACGTTGGACTTCGACAGTTAAACAACCTTGGTTCGCTGTAACGCGGAACTTTTTCGCTGGTCTTTAGGAAGTACGAGCAGTAGGGACCTTCATAACCCCTGGAAAGCATCAACAGGGTCGATGCGTAGCCGAGGTCGGTCTTCCCGTTCCACATAATGTCAAAATTTGTCTTCATCTTCGCAACGCCCTTCAGTTCGGGACGCCCAGGGAAGCTTGCAGCGTAATCCCAATCGCGGGTTTTGTCCGTTGGCTTCTTGTTTACCGTTAACTTACGAAACTCGACGTTGGTGACTTCAAATGCATTTAGTATCCTATAGATCGTTTCGTTTTTCCAAAACGACGCCGATGGCATGTGACGCCTTTCGATGAGGGCTAACGCGCCGGATTTAAAGTTTCTTCGGCAGTTCTCGTGGGCTTCTTCCACGGTGTGGGCGCCGAAACCCGGTTGATCGATTGTCATCAACACATAGCATTTGTCCGTATTCACGTGAGGGCGACCGTAGCCAATCACGCGACCGCTTTCGTGTGGACAGCGTTCACGTGACTGTACTCCACTGAAACCGAACAATATTGCACCCCATAAAACGAACGAAAAACGCAGCTTCGAAGGCAGCATCAGAAAACTGTATTTCTGCAGCATTGACCTGAGTAAAGCAGACGTAATCAAAAAACATTATTTCGTAATTCTTAGTGATTATGACCTACCGATACTATGCAATGAATGTTCGCTTCTCTGCAGAGGAAAACGGTAACGGTATCATGCCATACCGGCGCTCCCGGTGGGAACAAAATCTTACGATGGGTGCCAATTAACCGCCAACAAGCTATAATTATAAATTATGCAAACGATATGATTTATGCAAAGCTACAACTTAATAACAACCTCAGCTAATAGTAATTAATTCACTACATAAGACCAAATCTAAATTCAGTTTCAACATTTTATACCTGATTTGAAATGCTATGAATGCTACAAGAACTGGAAAGCCACTGTATGGTACTTACTCCATAACAGTAAGTTATATCTTGCACATTTACGCGCCTATGCATAATCACAGATTTAGTTGGTGCCTCAACACGCCTTTGTTAGGCTCAACTGAAACCGGTGCAGCTAGCACCCGGTGTACAACAGGCGCTAAATCCCACCATGAAGCTATTGCTAGCTAAAACGCTTACCATAGATGAGTAGATGCTAGAGGCGGTGCGCTCACACTGAATAAATCCGGTATAATGAAATGTTTCCATTACCGTGGAATCGGAAACTACTTGTGGGAGGAACGATGGAACGACTGGATTATGCTTTGTCCAAAAATTTAAAACAACGGCCAACTCACCTTCTTACATTTGTATTAACGGTTTACGGTGCAACAAAACCAGATAGTGACAAGCAGTGATAAACGAGCATAATGTGCGTTTGGTTACCGTTCCAACACGACGACGTAACTACATGTGATGTTGTAATACCTCTGCGTTGTAACGTTAAACCGCTGGTGCATTAAACTGTGTCCCAGAGTATATTTAATCGCATCTTTGCTCTACACTAAAAAGAAATCTCCTAGAACTCTGCATTCTCTCATCCTCAACAACAAAAATGAATATAATTCAGATTATGTCAACCTTTTAAACATTCACCGTTGGACCGAAGTGCCGTGCCCATGACCATTGCGGATTTCTAAGAACGAATTAGAAACAAATAATTTTCTCCGCTTCTGCCACCCCTCCCTATACATTCTGACGTCTGCATTTTATGTTATTTAGCTTGATGAGATCACAGATGTCATTAGAAATTCGCAGCTGA